CTTAGGCACTATGCTACCAGAGCTCCTAAATAAATAAATAAAGCTAGAATAATAAGGTCTCAAAGGAACAGGAAAACTTATCATGTCTTGAACTTGCCCTTTAATTTTGTCATTATGATCACAAACATACAGTAAGCTTCTAGGAATGGGGCCGGGTCCTAGAGCAGTGGAGAAACTAAGTCACAAACAGCAGAACTTGGCTTGGGGCCACAGAAGTGAAGTGTTCAGGGTTGAGAGACTCTGGACACCACGGTGTGTTTTGGTCATTGTTGTTCAGAAATGGGAAGAGGAAGCATGTTCTCAGGGTTACCAGAACTCCTGAGAGGGTGTGAGCACTTCTTGAGCCATCTGCTTTTCCCAGAGTTGGCCACAGACTTGGGGGCAGACAAGAGAGGCACCCTTCCTGCTAGCTGTGTTTCTGGGTGTGGTGATCAATCCAAGGCCTCGCTTTCCCTCCTCTCCAGGCTTCCTCCAGCCTCTAAAATAGAAACCACAACCCCCGTCCAGGGCCTTACTTCTTGTCAGCCGATCTATTTCCCCTGTAAGAAGGAGAAAGGAGAAGGCCCCTGCACTGTAGTCAGTGACTGGTTGCAAATCCAGGGGTCCCAATTAGGCACTGGCTCAGGCTCATTGTAACCAGTGACACTGCTGGAGTCAGGGAAACAGGGCCCCCATCTCCTGAGACCTCCACTAAATGCAGTGCTGGCCCTGTGGGGCTCTCCTCCCGACTCCGGCTGTGCAGCTCATCTGAGCCCAGATGTTAGGCTGGTACAGAAAGCTGAACACACACTCCACCATGGCGCAGTTCTGGGTTAGAGGCCTTCACCCAGGCCGTGTACTCAGGGCTCCTGGATAAGGAAGGGCCACAAATGCCTCTGAACGGTGTGTTAGGTCCAGGGGACAGAGCCTGGGCACTGCAGGAGTTGTCCAGGATCTCTCTTTGAAACCCTTCTCTCAGTAACATCTTAGACTGTGCCTTGTTCTTATTTCACAATCTAGAAGTAGGAACTGCCAGAATCCCACAGCCCTTTCCTCTGATTATAATCACTTCCTCTGTATCTCTCTCCAAAGAGCAGAGTCCAGAACCTCCCCTAAACAACAGTGGCCCAGAGCAGGCTCCAGGCACCACCACAATGCCCGTCCCTACCCCCCAGCCCCACCTGCATCTGCCTTCCTTGCTGCTGCCTCTGCTGCTGGGACTCAGAGGTGAGTCTGGCCACCCTTGGGCATCACTGGGCTGGGATGCTTACCTGAGCCTGAGCTGGACAATGGTACATTTCTGCCCTTGGCAGTGGGGCAGATGGGTGTCTGTTCTTTACCTTCTGTCCCTCTTCTTCTTAAACAACTCTACAGTCCCCAGGCCTGTCTCTCCTCTGTCTCTTTCTCTTTAAGACCTTTTCCCAAATGGTTGCTTTTATGACAAACAACTCCCAAAGACATCCCTCTAGAAGTCTTACTTCTGCGCTCAAGAGGTCTTTCTGCTTGGAGGGGTCCTTTCCTCTCCCATGCAGGTCTAGGCAGGATTTCCCCAACAGGAATTCCAGTCCCTTGTCCAGTCCTTCCTCATCTCCCACAGAGTCACTGGGTGGAACTTGGCTGCTGAATGAAAGGTTAGTGGTTGAAATCCACCCAGAGGTACCTCGGAGAAAGGCCTAGTGACCGACTGAAAGATCACAGTCATTGAAAATCCTACGGAGCACAGTCCTACTCTGACACACATGGGATCACCATGAGTCAGAATTGAGGCTACAGCCACTGTTTATTGCTATTGACTTTTTATTTCACCTCCCACACTCCTCACACCCTGTGATGACGTCATGATCCCCTGGGTCTTAACCTGCAGGAAATGGCACCATCCTGAAAGAGGAAGTGAGGGTGCAGCTTCGGGCTCTTTGGGCTTGCTGAGGACCCTAGCACCTAGGAGGCAGGGCTGCCTACAAACATACCCACATACATATGTGTGTAGAGATTTGTGTGTGTGTGTGTGTGTATGTGTGTATTTATGCTGTTGAGTTGATTTTCCAGTACTTCACTATGCTCTGAAACAAAGGAGAACAGCTCCATAAGGTTTTCTGGGCTGTAATCTTTATAGAAGCAGATCACCAGGTCTCTCTTCTGTGGAACCTCTGAGTGGATTTAAACTGCCAACCTTTTCATTCGCAGCGGAGCATGTAACCATTGTACCACCAAGGCTCCCATGTATCTGTATATCCGCATATATATATATTTTACTCCTTGCCATGGTGCTGGACTCTTACTCATGAGATGGTGATCTCACGTGTGTCACAGTAGAACTGCGCTCCATAGGATTTTTATTGGTTGATTTTTCAATGGTTGATCCCCAGGTCTTTGTTTAAGGCCCTTCTGGGTTGACTCAATCCTTTAATCTTTTAGTTAGTAGCTTACTGGGTTAACTGCTTGTCCCACTATGGGATGTGTGTGTGTGTGTGTGTGTGTATTGTAGATACTATACCATACTATATTATTAAAAAAAAAACCTCCGTTGAGTTGGTTCTGACTCATAGTGACCCTGCCTTGGGTTTCCAAGGCAGTATCTCTGTGGAAGTAGATTGCCGTCTTCCTTTTGAGAAGTGGTCAGTGGATTTGAACTGCCAGCCTTCTGGTTAGCAGTCAAATGCCTTAGGCATTATGCCACCAGTGCTATTATATTATATATGGCATAATTAAATATATATGTAATATTATAAATACATGTTTTTCTAATAGCTGATTTATATATGTAACACAACTATTATATATATGTATGTATATATAAACCAAAAAACTAAACCAAACTCACTGCCGTCGAGTCGGTCCCCACTCATAGTGACCCCTTCTTGGGTTTCCGAGGTGGTATCTCTACGGAAATAGATTGCCCAATCTTCCTTCTGAGGAGTGGCTGGTGGGTTTGAACAGACAGCCATCTAGTTAGCAGTCAAATGCCTTAGGCACTACGCCACCAGAGGTACTTTTGGTCCAATGGGATTGGATAGCTAGCTAGTGATGTAAATAAGATGCATGGCATGTTTGTGAGGCTGAGACCCTGAATATAAAGTATATAGAACCCTAACAAGGGGATTGGTCAGTGTTGCCATCTTGCTAGGCTTAAAATGAGTATCTCAGAGGCAGAAAGTAGGAGCCTCAGTATCACCAAGAAGAGGAGACGGGAGCAGAGTGCATTCTTTGGACCCAGCGTCCCTGTGCTGGGAACTTCCTGGTACCAGGAGACAGAGAGAGCAATGACACCGGTGTTGGCAAGAAGCAGTGGCAGGGAAATGGCAGCAGCAGAGTTAGCAGAACCACAGGACTGGTGAGCCAGGACAGTGGCCTTTCTGGCCCATGGAGCAGGACAGTTACAGTGGGTGTGCTGACCCTGGCAGCGAAAGAACTGAGTGCCTTCAGGCAAGAGGCTTGTTGGCAGGTTGGCATGCCTCTGGGCACTCATCTGCAGAGCTACAGAGCGTTGTTACACTTGCCTGAGCAGGACAGAGGCCAGGCCAGCCCAAGAGGCCTGAGGGGCTGAAGGGCTGAGAGGCCAAGAGAGTCATGCTTATGGACACAGCCGAGAAGAAGCTGAACTGACCAAAGAACTGTTTCCTGAGTAGATCCTGCATCGTAGCCTACTTCTTTAATAAACCTCATAATTGTGAGTATGGTCCAAGTTCTGTGTGGCTATTGTAATGAATTATTAAATGCAGCAAAGAGGTAGAAAGTGCTGTGGGAAGGATGGTTGGTATCAGAATTGGCAGACCCTGCCTCATAGAAATCAGTTTTTGACCAATGCTGCTGCTGATGATTCTGCTCCCGTGTGAAATTAGAGGAAGTCAGATGCCACACCCACCATGCCATGTTTACAACTACTAGAAAACACTGGTAAATACAGGCACACCTTGGAAATATTGTGTAGGCTTGGCTCCAGACCACTGCAAAAAACAAATATCGCAATAAAAGGAGTCACGTGAATTTGTTTCCCAGTGCATATAAAATTTATGTTTACAGTATGCTGTAGTCTATTAAAAGGAGCTCTGGTGGTATAGTGGTTAAGGCATTAGGCTGCTAACCTAAAGGGTAACTGGTTCGAACCCACCAGCTGCTCTGTGGAAGAAAGATGGAACAGTCTGCTTCTGTAAAGGTTTACAGCCTTGGAAACCCAATGAGGGTAGCTATGAGTCAGAATTGACTCTATGGCAATGAGGGTTTTTTTTTTTTTTTGTAGTTTATTTAGTGTGTAGTAAGAATATGAAGAAGTTTGAAATACTGTGAGAATTACCAAAATGTCACACAGAGACATGAAGTGAGCACATGCTGTTGGGAAAATGGCACTGATAGCCTTGCTCAAGCAGGGTTGCCACAAACCTTCAATTTGTGAAAAATGCAATATCTGCAAAGTGTAATAAATAAGATACACCTGTAGTGCTTTGGGACATTATTAAGTCACCCAGAACCCAGCATTCCAGGATTCCACTCTTGATGTGGGCATTTCTCTTGCCCGTCCCTTCCCTTCTCCCTAGAGCTGGCCCCTGACACCCAGGGCAGACAGGAGGGCACCCTTCCTCATCTTAGCAATGCCAGCAACTCAGCTGAGAGGCCATCTAGTAAAGTGATTTAAAGCACAGATATTTTTTGAAGCCAATCTGCCAGGGTTCAATTCCAAGTTCCATCACTTACAGGCTGTTAGACTTTGAGCAAGTTACTTGTCTTTACAATGGGGAGAAATAATAAAGCCTTTCTAATAGGGTTGTAGAAAAAATTAAACAAGTTAGTTAATATATTTAGATGTTTAGAGTAATGCATGGTGCACAGCAGCTTTTATGGAAGCTTTGGCTGTTGTTGGATCCTTCCAGGGTTTAGTAAATGCCAATGCATAAAAGTGGCCCCGCTGATTGTGACCCTTATAGAGCACTTGCTCTGTGTCCTGGACAAGCCTAAGTCTTCATTTAAAGCTCACAGCAATCATGGGAAATGAAAATGGTCCCTGACATTTACAAAAAGGACAAAGAATGCAGAAAGTCATAGCTTTGGCTCATCGACTCTGGAACCAGGCCTTAAGCCCACTCAGCCAGTACAGGACCTCTCCTACTGGACCTTCGGAGGCCCACGGTGTGTTTCATTCCTTTTCTTACATGTACGACGTTCGTATGAAGTCCACATGTGCACCATGTATTGGGAGGAGGAGAACCAATGTTCCTTGAGTGTCAACCACTTGCCAGACTATGCTGAGCTCTTTATCTGCATAAACTCATAAATCAGTAAAGCAAAACATGAGATGGCTACTATCTCCACTGGACAGATGAGGAAAATTGTGTCCATAACTGATGACGAGTTGCCACTGGGTTGACTGACTCATGGTGATTTCACGTGTGTCAGAGTAGAACTACGTACCACAAGGCTTTCTTTTAAAATTTATTTTATTTTTGTTGTTGTTGAGGGTATACACAGCAGAATGTACACCAATTAAACAGTTTTTCACATGTACAATTCAGTGACATTGACTCATTCTTTGAGTTGTGCAACCATTCTCACACTCCTTTCCTGAGTTTTCCTCCCCAATTAACATAAACTCACTGCCCCCTAAGTTTCCTTTATAATTTTTCCAGCTGCTGTTGCTAATTTGAACCCATATAAATTTTAAAAGAACACAATGCTCAAGCCAGACATTCTTTACTAGTTAAGGTCAACTAAAAAACCAAAAAAAAAACCACAAAAAACAGACCCACTGCCATTGAGTAGATTCCAACTCATAGCAACCCCCATTGGTTTCCGAAGCAGTAAATATTTACAGAAGTAGATTGCCCCATCTTTCTTACATGGAGTGGCTGGAAGCTAAACTACTGCTCGGTTTTAAGACTTCAGGGGATGTTTTTGATTTAAAGTTAGAGTATCTCAGGGCAATACATCCAGTTTCCATGGCTCCAGAAACCCTAGAGTCCATGGGACTTTGAAATTCTGTTCTGTGTTTTTCCTCTTTTGATCAGGATTCTTCTATAGAAACTTTGATCAAAATGCTCAGTAATGGTAGCTGGGCACCATCTAGTTCTGGTCTCATGGCAAAGGAGATGGTTTTACATACAGGAAATTAGCCACACATTCCATATCCTCCTCTTATTCCTAACTCTCCTTCTTCTTCTGTTACTCCAGGAAAATAGAGACTAATTGTTGAACCTTGAAAGACCACTTGCAAGCTTTTAAGCCCCCAGGCACTATGCAAAGAAGGAGGAGGTAGAACAGAAGCATCAAACACATTATTAGCCCAATTCACTGGGATGTTCAATCAAACTATGACCCTAAGTCTCCAAACCAAGGAATGAGTAGATCACCAGGCCTTTTTTCCAAGGTACCTTTGTGTAGATTTGATGCCCCATCCTTCGTTTAGCAGCCAAACAATAATCTGTTTGTGCTACCCACAGACTCCTCAAATGAATTACTCAAGTCCAAAACTTGTCAAAGGAGTATGTGGTAAGGAGCTTGGGTTTTGAATCTACACCTTCCTGGGTGGCCTCTGCAGGAGGTTTGAGAGTTTGGAGGCCCAGAGCAGGAGGAGTCCTGTTGGGCCTTAGATAGAGGATTATAGGAGGATTCCTTCTGGGGCAGAAACTTCTAACTGAGTCACAGTGTCTCTTGATGGAAATGCTGATGGCCCCTTGGTACTCATAGATGAAAATGCCTGGGGAGTGACATGGCTCTGTAAGAGCCCCCCATCTGAGCTGCCAGAGCTCTGGAGCCCCTAGAGTTGGAATATTCCTCCTTGCATCTTCCTGAGGCCCTTTGTGATAGATGCAGAGGGGATGTGCAAGAGGAAGGGAGTCTAAAAGTGTTACACAGATCCTGCACGCACTGGCTCGCTCCCTCCTGTGACACGTTATTTTCTTATTTGTTGTCTTGGATTGATGGAGGTTTTTCTTCTTTCTCTTTTTAAATGTACTCATATTTCTGGCTTGTCAACACAACTCAGATCATGTCACGCTTCTGCTGAAAACTGTTGGGTAGGTCCAAGTTTTCTTAAAAACATAGTAACTTCAGCAGCAAAACTTCCTTGGTTTGGTGATTTAGGGTCATGGTGTCATGAAATAGCCCAGTGAGTTGACCTTGTAACTGTTTAGTGCTTCTGTTCTACTCATAGGTCCTTGCTTAGTGCCTGGGGGCTTAAAAGTCTGCTAGTGGCCATCCAAAGTACAATAATTGCTCTCTATTTGCCTAGAGAAACAGAGGAAGAAGGAGAATTAGGAATATGAGGAGAATATGGGCTCTCTCCTTCATTGGTCTTATTTCTAGCCAAATGTTTTTCAAAGACCTGGTCTACCAAGATGCTGCAAGAGAACAAGGTTTCCTCCCTGCAGGGCCAAAGTTTCTTTGCCATTAGTGTCCATTAGTACCTTTATGATCCTGAGAA